GTACAGCCTATAGTTTTTGGTAGTGGAAACTATGCATAAAGAAACTTGATCTGGAACATCGGAATGTTATCTCTTTTATGGTATCGCATATGTTTACATAGAAATCCGAAATTCTTCAAAGGGTCCCGACACTGAACAAAGGGTTTTTATTGCACCAACATATCCTGATAATTCTAAGGTTTCTTTTATGGTTTTATGGCCCTCCTAAACTTTCCCTTTAGTTTCTGAATAGAGTTCTCCTTTTCAGAAAATAAAATATAACGAAAAGAACTGAATACTAGTTTTTTTCCTGAAAATTATTGTGAAAATATTATTCGTCTTTTTGTTATTGCACTTGAAAAAGTACCTAAAACTCATGCCCTTAGACCAAAATACCCCCTTAAGCTCCATTATATTTGACAACATCATAATACGCAGTAGAACAATAGCATAATCTAAAAAGTAATAATTTATGAAATCCATAAAAATTATTTATTTTAATAAATACCTATATCTAAAAACAAATTTCATCTATTCCTACTGAACTACAAGACATCTTATATGATGTGAATAAAAACAATATTCTCAACTCTTATTAGATTTTCTATAAACTCGTYAATATTGTAATTTTTYAAAATTMTTTTATGTATTTTAAAAATGCTACATSATCGTCCAAACCTAATTTGATGATKCTYGAATATTCGTGCGCAACCAATGCTATCAAYTGAAGGTTTATTAGCATATTGGAGATACYTAYTGTATCTGCTTCTTATTAACCCTAAACGATAAGCTCAATAAGAATTAATATTTATGTGATTTACACTTGCAATTCAAATGATATTTCGTATGTCCTGTTGTTATTACACTTATATCTAAAAATATGTTTTCGTAGGGTATTTGCGTGAGCAATGACGTTAACTTATACATAATATATTTATATATAATATACTTATGCAATCAATACCATCAACAAATATTTATTAGCATTTTCGAGCTACTTATTATTACTGCTTCTTATTACCCTTATTAAATAAGTTCCATAAGGTAATTCAAATGCTATTACGTAATAACACTTATATTCTAAAAATATGTTTCCACAGGTTATTTACATAATCAATGACTTGTGTAGCAATGACTGATGTTTTTCGAAGTAAAAAAATTTCCTATAGAATCTTTAGCGTAATTGTTTCCGGGAGCCATGTTGATGACGATTAACATTAATTAATATTTATTATATGTCCAAATTCCAAGCAATGAAATCTTTTGATTCATCAAAGATACTTATTGTATCTGCTTCTTATTAACCCTAAACGATAAGTTCAATAAGAATTAATATTTATGTGATTTGAACTWGCAATTCAAATGATATTACGTATTTCCTGTTGTTATTACACTTATATTTTAAAAACATGTTTTCGTAGGCTATTTGCGTGNTAGTTTCATGAAATACTTTTCTTAAATAAATATAATTTCAGTCAGTAGTAATAACAGCGTAAGAACTTTAAACAAATATGAAATTAGAAGGTATGAACTATAATGTAGTAGTAGAAACTCGAACATTTGGAAGAATTTTAAAGATTGACACTATCAATGTTCATTAAACATATTCCTGTGACCAGAATTCCCCCAAAATCTTGATTTATTCGCATTTTTAGTATCTGGCTACTCTGTAAGACGTACTTTCCTACGTTCTTTTCTTTATGGTCTACTTCTATATATTGTTATTGAATAATTTTACACGCATTTGTGATCAATAAGCTATAAATAATAATATCGTTAGATAATCGATATAAACATTAAATGATAATATAAATTATAAATTAATTTAAATAAATTGATATAAGTAATAATAAATTAAATATTTTCCTCATCGATTTAAATAGATTCAATATTTTTTCCATTGTCACTTACAAATTAATCAAATATTACATAGTTTACATGATTACTTATACAAATGTGTACGGTGGAGTATTTATTTGTTGTGAAAACGGTGAAATTTTCGTGTTGTGTTTATTCCAGAAGTGAAATATTAAATTATGGTGAAACATTTTAGCCGTATTTTATAAATTTGGTATTACTGTACGCTGTTTTTATTGATTGTTTTCTTGGAAAATGCGGAATTAATTATAAACATTAATAATAAATATTAATACAATACATAGTTGCTTTAAGCCTTGAAATCCAAATAAATTAAATAAACTGTCTTATTCTTAACGGACATTCTTACGCATGCAAAGTCGTTTCCTGTTCTACGTATGTATGCATGCGTACTATATATATGCAAACATTTACGTCGAGCAGTCAGTATAAAACCGTAGTAGGATTAGGTTACTTCGTTCAATAGATATTTTTATCAAAAGAACATTGTTGATTAAGTATTATAATCTTTAAATAATAAATTAAATGTTAGAATCTTTTTTAATAATTAACAAGCATACTTAGTTCTTCATAATATGAAAAGTTATTAAAAGTTTTTTTTTATTAACAGTGTAAAATCAAAAAACTTATCATATATTATTATATTCTTTGTGGAAATATTTTTTTGGATAAATAGGTAAGTTTTTTTATTTTTTAACATCTTATATCTTTTCAATATGTGAAGATCACATATGGCCAAATTATATAATTGAGTTTAATTATTGTACTTACTTATTTAAGATCAAGTGTCAGTCGAATTAAATTCATAAATTTAATTTATTTTGTGAATAAAATTATTATGGATAACTAATAAATTATTAGGAGTTTCCATTGAATGAGATATTAGATAGGCCAAAGATTATTAGAGTAGCATCAGTTATTGTAAATATTACTTGCTATATTACGCATCATTTTTGAAAAATTTTTATATCTACATAATAAAAACTTTTTTAAAGTAAATATAATTACTCCATATATGTTTTTAATAATAATATATTATTTTTATATAAATTAGAATTGAATTTTTCTGTAATTCGAAAATAAATATCTTTTTACTGTAATTAGTATCAAAACCATATATTTCAATACCTTGTAAATATTTACTTATCTTTAAGATCTGTCTGGCATTGATAATTATTATAAAGTGAAATTTTTCGTACTTTATTTGTACGTGATATTTTTTTCTATTATAAAAGAATTCAAAAAATGGCATCATTAAGCGGCCAAACGTATCAAGAGGAATTGTTTTCGATGGTAGAAGAGCCGAATTATTATAATCAACAGGGTGAAATTTCTGCATTTTTTTCTGGAAAAAAAATTTTTATAACAGGAGGCTTAGGATTTATAGGAAGGCTCATAATGGAAAAACTTTTGAGGTAAAAATGTTTTATATACTTATATTTTTGTTATTGATCAGATTTGTACATTCGTTATAAGTTTTCAATCATAAGTTTTAAATAAATTTGGATAGTATGTATAATTGAATAGTTCTTGATAGAAGCATTATTCTCCTAGAGATTAATATAATTTTAAATTAAGAAGAAAAATAATCCTGGAGTTTTGTCTATAAATTATTTTAACTTTTGTACCACAGGAATGTAATCTTCCTAGATAAGAAAGATAGCATAGAGTTTTTTTCATAAAAAAAAAGAGAGGAATTATTTTTTTAGAAAATGTAAGTTCTAAAAAGAAAAATAATATAGCAAACACTTTTTATCTAATAGTACCTGTTTTTAAAAATAAAGGTATCTATTTTTTTTCTCTTTTTCTACCTCTCTATTTACTTATATATGTAAACTTAGACAATATTGTTTTATTTTATAAGAATTAATTTTCCGATAAATCTTTTACTATAAATGCCATTTCTGCCGTTTGCAGATGTTGTCCAGAAATAAAAACGATTTATTTACTGACAAGGGCAAAGAAACAGAAAGATCCGCAAACTCGATTTAAAGAATATTTCAATGATGTTGTGAGTAAAGTTGCCTGCTTTGTATTAATTGTTATGCGAATAAAAGTTATAACCTATATTACAGTTTNTTCCATAAAATCTTCAGCGTTACCGTTTCCGGAAACCATGTTGATGACGATTAACATTAATTAATATTTATTATATGTAAACGTTCCAAGCAATGAAATCTKTTKAAGATCTATTAAATATCAAAAWCCGACGTRAAACCCTATACGTTTCAATATAAATTTATATTTCYATRAATATTAATCTACTAYTTTAAATATAATAATAAAATGTCWAAATTTTAATTTTAATCGACGTTACTTTAAAAGTTACATCAAGACTAGTTTCATGAAATACTTTTCTTAAATAAATATAATTTCAGTCAGTAGTAATAACAGCGTAAGAACTTTAAACAAATATGAAATTAGAAGGTATRAACTATAATGTAGTAGTAGAAACTCGAAMATTTGGAAGAATTTTAAAGATTGACACTATCAATGTTCACTAAACATATTCCTGTGACMAGAATTCCYCCRAAATCTTGATTTAACCGCATTTTWWGTATCTGGCTACTCTGTAGGACGTACATACTTTCCTACGTTMTTTTCTTTATGTTCCACTTCTGTATATTATTGTTGAATAATTTTACACGCATTTGTGATCAATAAGCTATAAATAATAATATCGTAAGATAATCGATATAAACATTAAATGATTATATAAATTATAAATTGATATTGTTACGTCCTAGAGGACGAAGTTAGTTAAGTAGTATAAGTAATGCCTGTTTATGGTCATTCTGCTTTCACCGAGTTTAACCGGGACCAGCCTCGTTCGTTTCTCGTTTAAAACAGTGATATAGTCTGGCAAAAAGCGTACGATAAGAGAGTGGATTGAGGAAGGTTTTGAAGCAAGGGAGAAGATTAGTGGACCGCAGCTCTGATTTAACAACAATTTAATGATAAAAAAATGATTGGTGACTTACAATATTCGGTACAGTTGCTGGTTGCTTTCGAGATTGCACAGGAGGCTTGGGCTGGTTTCTTTCCAAAGGGGTCGAGACACTCAAAGACCCGAAAGTTAATTATTTATTATAACTGATCAGTCAAATAATATTTAAATATTGAATAGCTGGTAGCTAGTAGTAACGATCAAGATATAAATTGAAGTCAAACTATAAATTGAGGTCAAAATTGTAAGTAGAAGTAGAAAACTATAAGTTAAAAGTGAAARCTRAAAAATGCGAGGTGAAAACTGAAAGTGCGTGCGGGGGCGATGGACTCTGGCTTTTATAACCCCCGAAAATCCTTCGTGGGAGGSGTAGCTCTRGTACCCCCACTCTTAGTCTCTAGCTGGCCCAAGCGTCCTAGGCATCCTCGTTCGAGAAAATTCTTATGTCCTCATGGACTACTAATACATTTACATTTCTAATATATTTTTACATATTCSACATATATATAATCTCGTAGCTTAATATTCGTGCATTTATATCCTTTTTGTATTCATTATACGTCTTTTGGTTAATTATTCTTAATTACATCTTGTTAATCCTTAATCAATCATCAATTCGTTATTCTCGAACGATTACATTTGATTATCCTTTAATTAGCTACATACTTGGCACGATTCTAGCGATGAGGTTTATTTATTCTTTATTCTAGGACATCTTTTATTCTAGGATATCTTTAATTCCGCATATTTAGTCGTTCATTCAATCAGGCGCATAGTTTCGCAAGTTACAWCGTCTCGGGGCGAAAATATCTAWGAATTATCTTTGGTTCCARAAAGTTCTAGAGAGTAACATTTCCGTTGGGCCTACGTGACCTTTACCAGCGTCTCTTAGCTTGGCKACACTCAGTCGCGGGAAAAGGTTTTATGGCTTGAGGGGRTTAATAKTCGGTTGCAWRGGGGGATGGTCATTCTCCAGGATTTAGGTAAGGGTTGCCTACCTGCGTCGTAGGTGGAATTTTTATGATAGGCTTCATATGTATATGACATTGTGAAGGTGGA